CTTTGGTAATAAAGTGTCATAAAGTCATTTTAGATGTTTCAATTCTTATTCACATTTCACTATGCGTTTCTAAATAACAACGTATAAAGTGAGACAAAAAAGCAATAACAATAACAACAAATGACCTTGTCGCAGACATAACAAGCAAATCCAATAACAATAAATCAACTAGTCAACAAACAAAAACACATCGATACAAGTGTAGATAGTTGGAGATACATCGAAATAGATAAAAACACACCAAATGCGCAGCATACCTTTAAAGCACATAAAGCCACAAAATTGTGGGTAAATTTCTATTCAGTTACTCAGAGACACATTTAACGCATCATCGCAAAAAGATGCAAATGATTTATGTTATTTTGATAACTAAAAATTTTGCAAAATTATTGTCACACCTTCTTTAATTTGCACACAAATAGATTGAATTTATGTTAAAAAATGTTAATAATCACATCAATCACATTCTGTTAACGTTGATCAGATAAACAGCCGAAATGATACATATTGCAGGTGATGTCAAATCAAATGTAGCGACACACCTGTAATATAGAAATCACAAATTGGTAAATACCCATTAAATATCAATGGGGATTAATAAAATAATTTGCAAAAGAAATCCAAGTTTTTATAAAGTCGTAGCTAAATATTATTGTTAAAGCTAATTGGTCAAAGAGACAGCCCAAGGGGCTGGTAGTAAAACGCAACTGAGTATAACTTGATTAAACAGACTGCTGGACAAGTCGTCCCCAAAAAAAGAAACAAATCCTCAACAAAATTGTACATTCACATCTTAACAAAATTTATGATGACCATAAGAGAAGTGTGTGTGTAAAAACATTTCTAAATGACCTTTTTGTATCAATCATTCCAGTTGTTGCCAATACACACTAGACATAGACATTTTTGGGGTTAACGTATTTACAGTAAAAGAAACTGGAATCTTTTGTTTTTATTTTCGCACATTTTAGAAACAAGATAAATATTAATTAAGTTTTGTAATATTCATATTTTGAATACATTAGCCAAATATGGTCATAAAAACTATAAACTTTTGAACTATTTATAACAAGGTGCAGCATAAATTATCGACGAAAATATGCGAATATAAAGAGATAAAAATAAAAATGTTACAAAACATGTTTGAGGTGATGTTAACGCTAACGTATTTTGAAATAAACTTCAGTGCAAATTATGTTATTTGAGTGCTAATTTTAAATATTTAAACTATTCAATTGGTTGTTAGTGTGTGCTAGTCTAATAATAACGGATTTAGCATGTTTGATTCCTGAAAGTCATTTGATGTTTAAATTACAATAACTTTTACTTGTTTGCTCCCAAAAAAATATATATTGAAGACTTGCCATCTGTCTAATGCTTCAAATATATCAAGTGCAGATATACGTACTTATAAGTGAGTTGTGGGTGGACATTCAAGTCATTTTTTGAAGAGGGGTTTACAAACATCATATATCCACCTCATTGTACATCGGATGTTAGCCATTTATGAGGGTTTTTCCCATTGGCGATAGTTTTTCTCTTGTTCCGTAAGCGATAAGGTTCCGTACCTAGTCGATTTACGATATTGGGGGGAACAGCTGCCCTTTTTTAAGGAAATTTATAACTTAGAGGTTTCGGAATTTTAGGCCGAGGATACGTTTTGACGGTTCATGAATCTTTCTTCTTGATACTGAAAATGTCGGTTTGGAGGTAAACTGTATCCTTTATTTTTTAAGAAAAATGCTCTATCATAAAGATACATTTTCGAAAATATTCTATAAAAAGGAAACATTTTCTATAACCAATATAGTTTTTTGAAAATTTTCTATGAAACAGAAATTTCCCGATATTTTTTATAAAATTGTATATAAAAAGAAAATTTATCGAAAATTTTCTATAAAAAAAAAAAATTATATAAAAATAGAAATTATCGAAAATTTTATATAAAAATAGAAATTATCAACAATTGCATATAAAAAGAGAATTTATCAAAAATTTTCTATAAAAAGAGAATCTATTGAAAATTTTCTATAAAGAGAAAATTTATCGAAAATTTTCTACAAAGAGAAAAGTTATCTAAAGTTTTGTATAACGAGAAATTTATCTAAAATTTTCTATAAAAATAGAATTTATCTAAAATTTTCTATAAAAAAGAGAATTTATCGAAAATTTTCTATAAAAAAAGAGAATTTGTCGAAAATATTCTATAAAAAGAGAATTTATCGAAATTTTTCTATAAAAAGAGAATTTATCGAAAATGTTCTATAAAAAGAGAATTTATCGAAAATGTTCTATAAAAAGAGAATTTATCGAAAATGTTCTATAAAAAGTGAATTTATCGAAAATGTTCTATAAAAAGAGAATTTATCGAAAATATTCTATAAAAAGAGAATTTTTCGAAAAAGAAAGGACAACAGTATTTTTTTTATATTTTCTAATAAAAGAAAATTTATTGAACATTTTTTATAAAAAGAGAATTTGTCGTAAATGTTCTATAAAAAGAGAATTTGTCGGAAATGTTCTATAAAAAGAGAATTTATCGAAAATTTTCTATAAAAAGAGAATTTATCGAAAATTTTCTATAAAAAGAGAATTTATCAAAAATTTTCTATAAAAAGAGAATTTATCGAAAATTTTCTATAAAAAGAAAATTTATCGAAAATTTTCTATAAAAAGAAAATTTATCGAAAATTTGTCTATTGTCTATAAAAAGAGAATTTATCGAAAATTTTCTATAAAAAGAGAATTTATCGAAAATTTTCTATAAAAAGAGAAAAAGAGAATTTATCGAAAAAGAAAAGAAAATAGTATTTTTTGTAAATTTTCTAATAAAAGAAAATTTATCGAAAATGTTCTATAAAAAGAAAATTTGTCGTAAAAGTTCTATATAAAGAGAATTTATCGAAAATTTTCTATAAAAAGAGAATTTATCGAAAATTTTCTATAAAAAGAGAATTTATCGAAAATTTTCTATAAAAAGAGAATTTATAGAAAATTTTCTATAAAAACAGAATTTATCGAAAATTTTCTAAAAAAAGAGAATTTATCGAAAATTTTCTATAAAAAGAGAATTTATCGAAAATTTTCTATTAAAAAAGAGAATTTTTCGAAAAAGAAAGGACAATAGTATTTTTTGTAAATTTCTAATAAAATCGAAATCTCTTTTTATATCGAAAATTGTCTATAAAAAGAGAATTTATCGAAAATTTTGTGTAAAAAAGAGAATTTATCGAAAATTTTCTATAAAAAAGAATTTATCGAAAATGTTCTATAAAAAGAGAATTTATCGAATATTTTTTATAAAAAGAAGATAATTTATCAAAAATTGTCTATAAAAAGAAAATTTATCGAAAATTTTCCATAAAAAGAGAATTTATCGAAAATTTTCTATAAAAAGTGTATTTATCGAAAATTTTCTATAAAAAAAGAGAATTTATTGAAAATTGTTTATAAAAAGAGAATTTATCGAAAATTTTCTATAAAAAGAGAATTTATCGAAAATTTTCTATAAAAAGAGAATTTATCGAAAATTTTCTATAAAAAGAGAATTTATCGAAGATTTTCTATAAAAAGAGAATTTATCGAAAATTTTCTATAAAAAGAGAATTTATCGAAAATTTTCTATAAAAAGAGAATTTATCGAAAATTTTCCATAAAAAGAGAATTTATCGAATATTTTTTATAAAAAGAAGATAATTTTTCAAAAATTGTCTATAAAAAGAAAATTTATCGAAAATTTTCTATATAAAAAGAATTTTTCGAAAATTTTTTTCTAAATAAAAGAGATTTTATTTTATTATTTATTTTATTTCTATAAAAAGAGAATTTATCGAAAAAGAAAAGAGAATTTTTTGTAAATTTTCTATAAAAAGAAATTTTTTTGTAAATTTGCTAATAAAAGAGAATTTATCGAAAATTTTATATAAACTGGAATTTATCAAAAATGTTGTATAAAAGAAGAATTTATCGAAAATTTTTTTATTAAAGGAGAATTTATCGGAAATTTTCTATAAAAAGAGAATTTATCGTAAATTTTCTGTAAAAAGAGAATTAATTTATCGTAAATTTTCTAAAAAAAAAAAAGAGAATTTATCGAAAGTTTTCTTTAAAACGAGAATTTATCAAAAATGTTGTATAAAAGGAGAATTTATCAAAAATTTTCTATTAAAGGAGAATTTATTGTAAATTTTCTATTAAAAGAGAATTTATTGAAAATTTTCCAGAAAAAGAGAAGTTATAGAAAAAAGAGAATTTATAGAAAATTAAAAAAATTATGTAAAATTTGTTACAAAATGAGAATTTATGGAAAATTATAAAATTTCCACTGACGCTGAATAAAACAAATTATTTGCTTTTTAGAGGTTTTTATTAGTAGAGTCTGTTAGGTGATAGTATGGCACATTTAAAAATCCAAAGTATCTGGTATTTGAATTACAACAATATTAATATTTATCAATGTCTGTGATATTATGCATATTTAGAAGACTAGACCAACAACATTTAAAATACTACCACTGAAGATGATAAAAACAATACGATGGCATTTACATACAGATCTTAGGTGGTGTTATTACAATGAATAGAGAAGAGAGTATTAAGTTGTTGGTTTATATCTTTTTTAGGGGTTTCAGTGACACATTTTTGTAGTTATTGTGTTACAAGTTTTTTTTATTTCTTATGATTTCTTGGGCAATAGTATAATAAATAAAAAAGATTTTATTGGTATATTTTGCATTTTTTGTTATGGGTTTTGGGAAAAAACGCATTGAAATGATTTCATTTAAATTTAATAAATTTATGACATGCCTTGGCTTATATATTTTTAGTAAATCTAAATAATATTATGGATTTATGACAAAAAGATGATTTTTAGAGCAAAAAAAAAAATAATATTAAGAAAGACAGAAATTAAAAAAAAAAAAAAAAAAAAAAAAACAACTGAGTATAAAAAGATTAGTGTTTAATATAAAGGTTATCAGTTGGGTTCATTGTATCTTTAG